AAATATGCCTGTTCTACACATCGAGGCGCTACCATACATTTTCCATGAAGGCTGTAAATTCTGTGCTGGAGTTGTGACGGCCCAAATCAGCGTTGCTAGTGTACCGCTCCCACACATAGAAAACGTTTGGTTCGAACTGATCTCTGCTGACTGCGAATTCCTGGATGCCGTTGCTTCTTACTGACTTTTTTCCGTGAGAGAAGTCAAGAATATCTTTGCACATTTCAGCCACCTTGTCGGCCTGGCCACCCAACACATGAAGAGCTAAGAGTGTCAGGTTGTGCAGCAAATGCTAAAAACCAGATAATATGACTTCAGTTTCTTGAAATGCAGTGTGAAAAAGCCAACCTTGTCTGGTTTTGCTATAAGTGTCTTGTGGCATACTACATTCTTTTCGCTGCTTTTCTTCACTGCTGCCACCACCGACAGTCTGCCCCTTTGTCGACATTGCCCTGCACTGCCCTGATATCTTGGGAAACTGCATCTGTTGGATAAATGCACACGCGAAGACATGGAGGTCGACGAAGATAAAGAACCGCGCATCATAAACTTGCTCTATTCCGGTGTGTTTGTAAGCCAGAAAATATCTAAACTAGAGAATTTCCTGTAGTCTTTGAGCACTTTTAACGCTCTGTCTGTACAAGATGGACAATGGGACTACTCTGAACGGGAAAAGTTCTCTGAAAAAGATCACTGCAAGCACGTGGGATAGATTTGGATATCAACGGGGGGACCCGTGGCTCTCGATCTATATTTAGCGCAAGCAGCAGGCATTTCCGCATGCCGAAGTGCATCTATTGGAATTGAGTACTGTTGATCATCTACCTGATGTATCAACCCATATCCTCTCGGAAAGTCTGCATACATGGATGATCGTGAGGAAAAAGCAGATGCCGACCCGCAGTACAGCACTTTTGAGCAGTGCGCTCGCTCCCAAACCCTCAAACCTCAAATCAAGATCGACTACTTGCAAAGAAGTTCTACCTGTAAATATGACCATAAACTTCTATGTGGTCGATTGCCTACAGAGGTCATCTGGCTAGGGCAGCGCAGCAGAGCCACAACATGGCAATCAACCTGACAAAAAATCGAGAACTGCTGGCCCAGCTTGAGGCTGCAGAGCACGAGAACTATGAGGTAGCAGAGTATCTTCGAGAGGAGCTGGAAAGCAGGGATGAACAGATAGCTGTGTTCCATGCCAGGATAGAGGAGGTGGGCCTTTGTCATCGCGGCATCCTTTTGCGACATACTTGCGTGGCACTTCTCAAGGTGGCAACATTGTCTGCAAACAGGCTGTAGCAGCTTGCAGTGCTGAGAAGCGGAGATCTGCAATGAGAGAAGAGAACTTGAGGCAAGCGCATGCTGCAGCGACCAGCGGACTGCACCAGGAGGTTGCAGACTTGAGGGGCCAGCTGGCCGGGTTGACAGAGGCACTGGCAAAGAGAGTTGCTGCAGATGACGAGCTGGTGAAGCTCCGCACACAGGTCAGGAAGCTGGAGAGCGACTTGGCAACGCAGGCAAGCTTCTTCCTCCTGGACAACGGACACCACAACATGCATTAATGCTTTGTGCGGGCCTTGGCAGGACTCCTGCACAACTAAAGCGCTACTTTGCCAATGCTTGTGGTCCATGCTCGAGACTAGATGAGGTGATGATCAATATATCTCCTAGATTAAATCAAAGACTAGTGTGCAGGTTCGTTGGCCAGGTGAACAGGGCACTAAGGATTGCTTCTTGGATTGCACCAGGATTTGTTCCAGGGATGTATCCACCGCATAGAATTCATTTTTCAGATGTCCTGCATGGTTTTATAGGTTTATTATTATTATTATTACACGTTTTCCAGTCCTTATGGACTAGGTACGTCTAGCAGCACCTTTATGGCAGCCCTCCATTCATCTCGGTTTTTGCATTTTCTCCGCCAGTTATATGGCAATCCTATGGCTTCCAAATCATCCCTGACATAATCATTCCAACCCTTCATAGGTCTGCCCCTGGTCCCCGTTCCCGATATGGTACCAAACATGAATTGTAAGGGCAGTCTGGTGTCACCCATCCTAGCCACATGTCCAAGATACCTCAGCCGCCTGTATCTAATCAAATTTGCAACCTCTGGAATATCACATTGTGCTCGTGTAACTGCATTTGGTATCCTTTCTCAAAGGCTTATCCCCAATATCCTCCGCAAACATCTCATTTGAAATACCTCGAGTTTTCTGATATCTTCATTGGTGACTGCCCATGTTTCACAACCATACAGCAATGTTGACTGAACAATGACTTTGTACAATATAACTTTTATCTTGAGAGATATGTTTTTATCTTTCCAAACTTTCAATCTGCTCAGCTTATGGTATGCCCCACCTGCCCTACTGAGTCTTGAGGCAATCTCTGGTTGCATTGACATGTCTGCTGAACATATGCTTCCTAGATACTTGAACATCTGAACTTGTTCAAGGGGTTGGCCCCTGAGCCAAAACTGCTCACTGCTATCACCGGTCTGTGTCCCACTCTGCAAACAGAGAATTTGAGTCTTTCTTATGTTTATATGCATGCCCCACTGGATGAAAACTCTGTCAATAATGGCCAGGGCTTCTTGTAGGGCTTCCTGTGTTTCGGCCACTAGGTTTATTACATTGATAAATATGGGGGCAGGCTGCGGAGGCGGATGTGCGCGTAATGGAAGCTGCCAAGCGGGCGCGTGCAGAGGCAGAGGCACGCGCGGAGGAGGCGCGCGGCTGGGACGCAGACGGCGCAGGCCTGGACAGGGCCGGCCGCCGCCTGCTGCAGGAGAGCCGCAGCAGGGCCGCCGAACTACAGCTGCACATCACGGTGGGAGCACAGCGTCGTAGACACACGTCCTTGATATGGGGATGTACATAGTCCGCTCCGTCCATTTGGAAGATGTCACAGCAGGATTGCACTGAAGGATGCCGCCAAGCATTGTGAATTTGAGGAGAACCAAGATGCACCATTTGTATCTTTCCTGCAGAGATCCGTCAGCGCAGCATAGGATGTCTGATAGCACATAAATCGGCAAAGGATGAAGGTGCAGTATACTGCAGTCACTGGCATGCGGTGGCATTCTCATGTCGGGCATTGACTTTATTGCCTGGCACGCTTGAAGCGGCTGTTTGAAAGCAAACTTTCCGATGATGGCAGGAAGCGGAGGCTCTGCACAAGGAGGTGAAGTTGCTACAAGCAGAGTCGGGTCAGCTGAGGAGGGATCTGGAGGTGAAATGCGAAATGGAGGTCCAGTATGCACAGCGGGGTGCTCTGCAGGTGCCTCCCTTGCTGTAGAATTATGCTTTCTAAGTGCCGCATTGTAGACTAAACCAATTCTCCATTGTAGTGCGCCACACTACCTGATGAATGTCACACCGCTTTGGTCTGCTGGTATTTTGACAGCAAGAGTAGCAGTACTCTCTCGGCGCGACCTGCGCTCTCACTGGTATGTGAGACCGATAAGTGCCGTGCAGGCAAGGAGGCTTGGGGAGGAGAAGGCGAGGGCAGCCTCGCTGGAGGCCAGCCTGGCGCGTGTGCTGCAGGACTTCCAGCGCGAGCGCGACGTGCAGCAGGCGGCGCATGCGGCTGAGCGCTCGGCCGCGCAGGCAGACATCGTGGCGCTGCGGCGGCTTGCCAAGGCGCGTGGCCGCGCCCTTCACAAAGTGCGCAGCCTCGCACAGGACCTGCTCCATGGCCGCAGCGAGCTTGAGGTTTTCCTCGTCACTTCCCTCCGCATGGTGCGCGCCCATAATCCTGTCTCTATCATATTGAGGTACTCTAAAGCAGCTTGGACAAAAGGGAAGAAAGCAACATCAAAGCAGCCGCCTAGACTCAGTAGGTACACCGGCAGGATGCAAAAAGTGGGTAGAATTCACCACAGAATGTGCATCTTTGTTGTGGTCTCAGAGCCACGATGATTCCTGCGTGGTATAACAAGAATCCCGTCTGAAAACATGCTTGCCAGCAACAACTGGGTTGCATGCTTAGCCATGAGCATGCGTGTGCTGATGTCATGACCACGTCTCTCTGCAGGTTAGAGCAGAGATGGGGCGGTGCAGGCAGCCGCTTGCCTTGACAAATGGAGAGGAGGCAGGCCAGGATACTCTGCTAGGCGAAGAATTATTGACCGGGACGCAGATTGACATCAAGGTGAGCCTCCCGGCATTCAAAGCTGCGTATCTCAAGTAACGCCACGACCACTGTCTCACATGAGTTGGCAGAAATGCACTTTGTCTGACGGCGTTCCACATCAGGCCAGGCATGCAATGTGATCACCATGGATGTACAAGCGCTGGCATGCAGGATCTCACATGGGAGGACCGGGAGAAGGTACTGCGAACAATGTTTGCCAAGCTAAACGATCGGCGGCGCAAGGAGAAGAAGCAGGCCGAGCTGCCACCGCCCTCATTTGACAGCGAGGATGATGAGGTGGACAATGCTGCGCCCTTGCAAGGGGTTGCCAATCATGCAGGGCCTGCCAGTCTCGTTTAGGACTCTTAGTTACTGTCTCTGGCTACTTAGATGTTGCTTGCCTACATGGTCAGTGGCACTCGCAGAACGAACTTGAAAAATGAAGGAGAGAACCCAGCCTTGTTTAGCTGCCCCAGCCTGAGACCTGTTTTGCTGCTTCTTTGGGCTTACATTTGCTGCTCCTTTGGGCCCGACTGAAAAATGCAAGAGAACCTGACACGACTGTTCACAGAGCGGCTGGGGTGCATGCTTGCACCACATTTTCGAAATTGCAACTGGCGAATACTACCCGAGAGTGGGTGATGGACTGGCAGGACGCCCGTATCAATGAAGCGAGAAAGCTGCAGAAAGCTGCACTTTTTCGTTCGCAACCAAGTACAGGAGGAGAGAATGCTTTATTGCAGATCGCATGCCATGGACTTCTTGCGCAGGCAGGAGATGTCAATTTCTCCGTATGTACCTGTCATCAACAGAAGGAAATTGAGTAGTGCCGTCAATGTATGGTCACAGCACGTTTCCAACAGGGCCGCTTAGCTCAGTTGGTTAGAGCGTGGTGCTAATAACGCCAAGGTCACCGGTTCAAGCCCGGTAGTGGCCATCTTCCTTTTTCATCCTTTCCCCCAATTTTTTTGTGATTTCAAGAAACATGATGTTCGAAACAAGGACGATTGAACACATCACTGCACATCATGTGAACACCTTCAAGTACTTCGAGAGTTGGTTGAAATTTGTAACCATTAGAACCCACAAAATCATGCAGAGAAAGAGTACTAGTGCGGTCGTGACAGCCAGCAAAACAATCATTCACCAGTCCATTACTTCAGCACCTTGACTCTACACTGAACGACTTGGACACCTGAATGAATCTTTGAAGAAAATTTTCGCATTTCTCACAAGACCTACAGCTGTACTGCAGAACGATGGCACTTGTGAAAAACTCACGCAACTAACTGCCATTCAATGCTTATTTCTGGTCTCCTGCTCTGCACCAGTTGTTGCATGCCTGCCCTTCTCAAGATTCTTGCTGAGAGGCATCCCAGGCAGCAAAGGTGTGCTAGCCTGCAGGTCCTGAGGCGCCGCATGGCCATGTGGTGGCTGCTGCCAAGGTCGTGCACTATCATACCGGCCGCCGACTCTTGGATTCTCCCCACTGGGTGATGGGCTGGCTGCTTCATGCGCATGCGCTTTGGGTGGTGCTGCAGATGGCGATGAGGAGACTTCAGGCCTCCAAGCCGACGGCCCTGGCAACTCTGGTGACTGTGCTGGTGCAGCTCCACCAGACATGCTGCTACTGGGATGCTCCTGCAGCTCAGATGTCTCCTCCGTCTCTTCCAGTACCTATAATCCCAAATCCTGTTTTGCATCACTCTCATGTGCATGAAGGTGAAGTGTTCCTGGAAACCTCACATACCAAATAGGAAGGACCGTTCAGCAGTTCTTACGCAGCGACTGGAACTTGTCAGGTGACTTCAAGGAAGGAAACGTTGAAGAATCCTCTTATGAATAGCTGAGCAGCTGCAGGGCAGCTAAAGGGACTTGGAAGGACATCTGCTGACAGTATAGTGTGCAAGAGTCAAGGACCTTTGCCGGGCTGCCAATGGGGCTGGCAGAGGGAACAAAGGAGGTGCGGCGGGCGAAGGAGGTGCGGATTGAGCCGCTGCCGGCGGAGCTGGTGAGGCTGCTGGTGCGGTGGCGCTGCGGGTCGCGAGTCAGCGCCTGGTCTAGCGCGGCGATGACCGGGTGCCGCCCGCTGCCCTCCCCCGCTCCATCCTGCGCATGCTGCGGGGTGTAGTATCCCAACGACCCTGGTTTGTCTGCAGGAACGTACCCTGCACATGCCAACTCTTCTACTAAGCCGTTTTCCTGCAACCCAGAGGATGTGAAGGGATGATAATGTGTGCAACATTACTCCGGAATACAACTCATAGATTTGGCGTGTTAATTGCGGCAAAGGAAACATGTCCACGCAAAGGGTGGAAAGCGCACCGCAATTGACAGAGACGGTGCGGCTGCGTTGCAGACCCGGAGTCAGGGAAGGCTTGCTAGATTTCAGGACGGCCGTGGATTTTATGCGCTGTATTTTGCCGGCCTTCACCAGCTCCTGGATCTCCATTATGATACTGCGGTCATCAGGGAACAAACGCCTGCAAACCAGATCCCCAGCATTAGAATGATGTGTTTCTGATCTTTCTCTGATGTTTCTCTGGCCAAGTACATGTCAGGCAGATGCAACAAGGTGATGAATTGAGGCATACAATGGATGCTTCTCTGACGGGTGGCGGCACCTGTAAACCTGGCGGAAGAGGAAGCCCGGCAGGACGCAGGCAAAGGGGATGAGAAGGACAATGAGCCAGAACACCGGCGCTGGGGCAAGGACCTCGACAAACAGGTGGTAGACGGCTTGTGACAAGGACAGCGGAAAGACACCGTACAAAAGGAGGTACAAAATCCACACACCTGCCCCAAACAAACAACACACAGAGTCTGTATCATTTTGCATGACAATGTGTGGCGGACAGAGAGCTGTGCCAGACAAATGCTGTCTGTAGGCAGAGGATGATTTGGAGTGTTTAGACGGGAACGCACAGACACTGAACCAGATGGACAAGTGATGGAGAGGCGTCCAGTGATCGAGGATGGAAGCGATCTCCAGATGCACAGTCACCACCACGACTGTGAATAAAATGCTGCCAACCTGCAAAGCACACCAGAACCAGCCCATTCTTGTGTCGACAGCCAACTAGATGCTGAAACACCTCAGGCTTTGCCTGAAAAGAATCTTTCTTGAAATCAATTTAGCACGGCTCCTGATTCATTGCATGGGTGTGAGAAGGATTGACGAACCTCCCAGTGTGTGAAGGTTGTGCCGGAGCTGCGGTCGGCATAGATGGACTGGGTAGCAAACATGACCATGACAAACATGACTGCGGCCTGGAAGATAGCGTTCACCACCCAGCCTGCCAGCGCCCAGGGCCTGAAATACAGGTTCTTCGGCCCCGCCTGGTATAGCCCTGCTGACACAGAAAAACAACATGACATCAGTCACCAGCATCCGGCTTCAGGTCCGGCACAAATTATAAGCTGCAATGCGACACACAATGATAGATCATTCTTCACTCCATGTAGCACTGAGCTCTTCGGCCCTGCCTGGTATAGCCCGGCTGACACAGAGGCAGTATCACATCAGTCACTAGTTTCTGTCTTCAGGACCGGCACTATCCTATAAGCTGCAATGTGGCACACAAAGGCAGGTCCTTCTTCACCCCGTGCAGCACTGAGAGCTGTAGGAGTCAGATGAGGAGGAGTGCACCGGGGTAAAGCCGGCTCATGTCCCGGTCCACGTCCTGATCAAACATGCCGATGATGAGCGGCGGAAGGACTGTGAAGATGACGTTGTACAGGGACATATAGAAATCTGCGCACACGACGCCACTCCGTAAGATCTACGCACAGTTGCCAGACTGACCAAGGCCCCCAGCCCTGCCTCATAGAATACTGGAGAGGGGGTTTGAATAAGCAGCTACCCATGGCATCTGTCAGATGCACAGCACGGCATGGCTGATGCATGCATGGGATGCCAACTACAGGAGTCAGCCTGAGGCACAGCAAAATTGCCTGCCGCGCACCATTGTAGATGATTTGGCCGGAAAAGAAGCAGAGGGCATTGTAGAAGAAGATGGTGAGGCCGAAGAGGATATTTTTGTAGAAGAAGTAGGAGACCATGCGGGTGATGCGCAGGTAGGACCAGCGCCCGTGCACCAGCAGCAGTGGCTCCAGGAACCGGAACTGCGCGATCGCAAAGTCGCTGCTCATCACTGCCTGCATCCCCTCCTGCCCGCTGATGCCCACACCTGTGTTGGAAGCTCTAGGAGATCAGCACCAAGGGTGTACTTTACCCACACACAACTCAATGCAGTGGAACTTTTCTACTTTTTTCGTCTCTTTTATCACATCCACGGCTCATCTATGAGAACCTTTGGCCCGATGCAAAACAAATATGCAGGGTTGGACGACAGCATGTGAAAATGTAAAGTGCAGTTCTATTGTGAATCCTGCCACTGGCCAATCCGTGCGGATTTGCGCGTCCATAAGGCATAAAGTACAGAAATGTGAGGATCGCATCAGCGCCTGGAAACCTGTTGAGACAAAGCACCATGGCAGCAATGCTGTATATGGTTGTTGGTCACCTATGTGCGCCTCCTGGATCATGCCCACATCATTGGCCCCATCCCCGATGCCCAGAGTGGTGTCCCCGGTGCTCTTAACAAGGGCGGTGACCTGCGCCTTCTGCTTTGGCGACACCCGGCAGCACACCACCGCCGCACATGCTTGCCCCACCTGCAGACATATAATATATTTCCCTGACACGACGGGTCTTTATGTCATGCACCACATGCAGCCTGTCTGCACTGGCGCTCCTTCTATTTGTCAATCTATGCTGGACACTATACCAGTGCTATTTGAGTACTTTTATAGCACGAATATCACACAGCGGACAGGCCCTGGTGTTGATCAGCCAGTGGTTTCCTGGAAAGCTTGCAGAGCCACCGGGGTGTTGCAGGGTGAGTCGCATGGTCATGCTTTTAATACCCAGAAGTTGGGAAAGTCCTGGTATGCCTTGGTGTGTCTAGAATCAGGTTGTTCCCTGACACCAGGAAGGGTTGCTGGGAACGTCTTGGCATGCCATGCGCCAGCAAGATATACTGAGGTCAAGTCAAAATTGTGATTGGGAGGCATGGCTGTGTACCGCAAGCAGTGCGGAGCGGCAGTCGTCTGCGAGGGCGTGCACAAGTGCCTTGCCATCGATGATGAGGGCGTTCCCTCCCTCGCTGCTGTCACGCGCCATGTGCCGCAGCGCATCACTCAGCTGCTCGCGCACTGTCGCTGCCGCCAGTGCCTCCGCCTCCTTGTAGCGGCCCTCATCCTCCAACGCATCTACCTGTCACACAGTTGCACAAACGGTCACTTGGTCGGCTCAATACATCTTTCAAGCTACATATCTGCCCAGTCCACACATCAAGCTGGCAATCAAGCCATTCAAAGGGGCACGTCAGGAAATGCCTAGAGAAGAGATGTTCTAGATTGTGATGAGAAAAGTCTGACGCTTGACGCTGACTTGCTGCATGCTACGCATGTCTCGCACTGCCTGAGATGATGATTGCATTAATGAGGCCGGCACACCTCCTTGGTGGAGGCAGTCACGATGTACTGCACCATCTCAGTGCGCAGGAGGCTGCATGCAAAGCCGATGTTGATGGCCGTCTCCTGCGCGGGGACAGCAACAGACAGCTCATCAGGCAGATAATGTTGCAGTAGCTCTGCTCAACAAAATTGCCCAGTCCTGGACGTATTCTACACTGGGCGCCATTGCCACAGCCCAAAGTGTACCAAGTCACGTGGTTTGGCGTTGTACTGCATCAAACAGAGGTGCATCACTATAAAAGAAAGGCGTCATCAAGGAATGCAAGCAATGCCTGACGCCCACCTGTTTGTCTCCGGTGAGGACCCAGATACGGATGCCGGCGGCAGCAAGGCGCTCGATGCACTCGGGGACGCCCTCTTGCAGCTTGTCCTCGATCGCCGTGCACCCCAGCAACT